CTAATGGTAATCTATACATTCAAGTTTAAATACTCAACATTTCTTCATATTGATTGCTACAGAAAGTATCAACTGCCAATTATGTATGATAAAAACTACTAATTTGATAAATTCTTAAAGCTTAGTATCTAATTGCAGCATATCTAAAGTGTCATAAGCCAATAATGTTGAGCTAGTCAGTGTGTATTGAAGTACGAAAGTCCAATATACTTTTGCAATTTATTTTTACCTAAGCTACTAAAATCATTCATGAAAAATAGAGGGAAAACATAAGCATACACCAACCAGATCACTACCAAAAATTAGGGGTCAATAGAAAAAATAACCGAAAGAGGACCCGCGCCCACCAGAAAGTTATTTAACAGAAAATTGAGAAACTCCACAAGAAATCCAAAAGGAGGAAAATTGGAAGATGAAGGAGCAAAGGTTTATGCAAATATTTTTGGTCTCACCTGTTAAAGAGCAGCAAAATGATACAAGTACTCCCAATTGAAATACATGCCTTAAAGTAAGCTAGCTCAAATTCCAAACACCGATTTATTAGGTTCGTTGTTTCTGCAGTATAAAATAAAATACAGAGTCTAAATTTTCCTTAAGATACCAAATTGAGAATTAACGTAACAAACCTGCGGTAAAAGATTGCTCCTCTCCGAATGCTTCCTCGTCCTCTCTGGGTCTGAGTGAAAATTGATGTACATGTAAGAAAAAGAATGGAGAAATGGAAAGACCTAGAAGAGAGTAGAAGAAACCAAAGTAGTCAATGACAGGTGAATTGCAGCAAACGTACAGATCCCTAAAAGTAACAGTAAAATTACCCATGTGCCCATGTTAATCCGGTAGAAATCCCCTAAATTTAATGTAATTACATCATTGTCCTTGTTAAGTAAAGTAATATATATATATATATATATATATAATAAAACAAAGACACGTGGGGCGATATAATGAAACAAAGACACGTGGGGCGTTAAAAGAAATTACACCGCAGGTTATAAAGACACGTGGGGACTTAATGCTAGTACAATACTTGTTAAATAAAGTGGACCCTACTTAAATGCTAGTACAATACTTGTTGAATAAAATGGGCCCTAACATAGTACAACTTAACTTACACTTGGAACAACTTTTTGGAGCTGTGTTAGTCCTTCACAACTCCCTCTTCTAAATAAGGGTAATAAATATAAAAAAGTAGTAGATTTGCAAAAAAAAATTCTCCGTTTTAATTTGTTTGTCTTATTTTAAAAAAAATTCATATATTTAAAAAATACACAAAAAATACTATAAATCATGATAATTGATAACTTAAAATATTTTAAAAAAAACATATATAAAATTGATTGCTTATTAAAAAATTCAATTGATTCATAAAATTAATCTATTTGTGTCACATAAAATGGAACAAAAGAAGTAAAATGTGTTATTTAATTTGGAAACTGCATAAAAAAGTATTGTAAATCTCAAATCTCAAATATTAACAACAGACTCTTGAAATTCTATTTGTGATACATATATTGGGACAAGATAAGTAACATATATTATTTTAAAATTACGTAAAAACTATAAATTGCAATAATTAACAACTTAAAATATTTAAAAATTATATTAAAATTTAATTAACTCTCTAAATTTTATCTATGTCACATAAAATGAGAACAAACAAAAAAATAACGGATATTAAATCCGTGCTAGCACAGGCACTAAGGAGAATAAGCTACCGCCTCTCCATCAACATGTTTGTTGTTTGGAATTAATATTCAATGTGGGGTTAGTTTTGTCAATTCATCCTTTTGTAAGACACGTATAGCTCTTTCAATAAGACACACAGTCACTTCACAACCCCTTCTTTGCTTTTAATGTTAGTGTTAACCTAATTATTAATATGTCAATTAAACATGTGGGCCCTGCTTGTGATTACTATTATTGTGGAATTTGATTAAATTAAATTTTTTATCAGTGTCACAAAATTGAAATAGATGGAATAACATATTTTATTTAAAAATAACGTAAAAGTATTATAAATCATAATAATTATCTATTAAAAATATATAAAAGACATTAAAATTTGATAACTCTCGAAATTCTATCGATGCCACATAAATTGGGATAGAAGGAGTAACATATATTATCTAAAAATTATATTAAAAGTGCTATAAATTATAATAATTAATAACTTAAAATATTTACAAATCATAAAAAAAAATTAATTGACTTTAATTTTTTTTATTTATATCACATAAATTGAGACAAAATAAATACTCCCTCTGTCCAACAATAGTTGTCCATTATTGACTTGACACACTCCTTAAGAAACAATAAATAACAAGGACAACTATATTATCATTTGACTTTATTAAATTTAATACTTTGAGAAATGTGTTAGATGATAAATATTATTTAATAGTAATGATAAAATAGACATAAAAGGTAAATTATATCTTGATTTTCTAAACTTGATAAATATTATTGAACAACTATTTTTTAGTATAGTAGATAACTATTGTTGGACAGAAAAAGTAACATATATTGGGCCCGTGCTGGCACGGGTTCCATTATCTAGTATATTTATAGGCAGGGTGGGGCGAGTTGAAGATTAAAAAAATGATTTAACTTGTTAGTGATTGAGAAAAATTTAAGAAATTAATACTCATATTTTAACTCAATTAAAAGAGATATTTTAGAGATTATTGCATAATAATTCATTTAAAATTTCAAATAAATTATATTAACAAAGCTTTCTAAAAATAATTTTATTTTTAAAATAACATTTAAAATATTTTAAGTTGTTTTAAAAATTTTCTAGAAGTTCGTGCTCTTTTTGGGCCCTTAATGACTCGAATCCACAACTTCAAATTTGATGAACACCCTCCGAGCAACCCTTATCTACATTTTGTAGGGGATCATTTGGTAGGATACAAAAAAAAATAATGCATGTATTTAGTTTTGTGTATTACTAATATCTTATTTGATATATTTTTTCAACTTATACACTCTATTTGGTATTATCCTATGTATACCTAATAGCTAATATATGAGAAACTATGATATTAATAATTTAAGAGGTTCTAATGCAAGCATTAACATGAATAAAGACAAAATTTGCCCATAAAAACTTTTACCACAACCTTTCCAATATATTCAGGGAGGGTATTTTTGTAAACAATTTCTTATTTATTTTGAAACATACAATGCATTTTAGTTTTAATACACCAAATCAAATAATGCATACGAAAATAGAAAAATTACATAAGTACACATTTTATTTTACCATAATCCCTGAAATTTCCTACCATATAAAAAATTACAAAAATCTCCTTTCGGATACATCTCTATCCTCTTTCGGATACATCTCTATCCCCTCTCAGATACATTCATATCCCCTCTCGAATACCTCCCTCCCTCTCGGATACATCCCTCCATTTAAATAATGTATCGATCGCAATCGTGAGCTATGTATCCGCATGTTTCCTAATGTATCCGAGATCCTATAAAATTAAGGGATTCATCTAACTTGGGAAAAATAGGGATATGATGTAATTAACTCCTAATACTATGAAATTTATGTAATTTTTATTAAAAATTTTATCTCAACATAACTAAAGTTAACATTACTAGTGCACCTTATTCAACACTATTCTTATATATCCTACGAAACGATCTCTTAAAATATTGTTGTTGTGTGTAGGGGTGTGCATTCGATTTTTCGGTTTGGTTTTATACTATTCAATTTGAATTTTTTTATTTTTGGTTTTGAAGAAGTGTAACCCAATCCGAACCAAAATAAATTTGGTTTGGTTTTTCTCTTTTCGGTTTGGATATTTTCGGTTCAGTAATTGGTTTTGTCAATAATAATAATAATAATAATAATATTGAATTTCTTAAATATACTTTCTAATATAAATCACAAGTAAAATACAATAATTAAAAGTATATCAACTATAGATGTCCAAACATAAAAAATAAACTAAATCATAATGAAAGACAATAACTAAATAGGGACAAAAGTGGTTAGCTCCAACCTAATTCTAAACCTATATATATATATATATATAATTCGGTTTTTTCAATCTTTATTTTTCTAAATCCGAAACCAAATAAAAAAAATAAACAAAGTACAAAATCAAACCAAAAATCCAAAAAACGATCCAAATTAGAATTTAGTTTGATTTGATTTGATTTTTCGATTTAATCCACATAGTGCACTGCACACCCCTAGTTGTGTGTAAATTTCTTGGAGGATTTTGGGCTGCAATCCGTTTGTATAAGTGGCCCAAGCCCATAAGTCTCGCTTGAACTAGAGCGCCGAACGTGAATCTATTTTTCTTTGCACTGTTTTCCCTCTACCCTCTTTAAACCCTAGCTCTTTTGCCCCCTTTTTGTTGCTCTTCAATTTCTTCTGCTTGATCGAAGATGAGGTAATTGTTTACTGCTATTTTACACTTTGCCTTTGTTTTTTTGAAGTTCTCCATTTTCTCTGCTTGGTTTTTTCTTGTCAGTGCAGTAACCCATTTAGTAGATTATGTAATGTTAGACTACATTTCTTCAAAGAAGTAGATAATTTGCCTAGGTAAAGTAAGTTTTTGGACGAGGAAATAAGAAATTGAAGAATTATAGTTGTCTTCTGGACTAATTTTGTGTAGGGTTTTTTTTGGGTGTCAAGTACTTTTGGATGTAAAGATTGTAAATTTACTAGTATTGAAATGGAAGTATGAATTAGAGTGAGTAGATTCATATAGCTGACCCCAATTAGCTTGGCGCTAAGGCGTGAGTTCTGTGTGCAGTTCAAAAACTATGCTAATTGGGTTTTCTGTAGCTAAACTACTGCCTTGGCAGATGGGTAAGTTGAAATTTCGACTATTCACTTTCTCCGCTAGGCTTTTATTACTACTGATGTTATTCCTTTTGGTCACTCTCCACTTTAGCCAATCTTAAAACCTATGTTAGCCCATGCACATCAGTGATAGAAAACCCTTCGTTTGGCTAGAATAAAAGGCTAACTAGGCTGTAGGATGTACAAATACAACAACAACTACAACTACAACATATCCAGTGAAAAACCATAAAGTGGGGTCTGTAGGATATACAAATAGTTGATGTGTTTCTCTATTCCTGCTGATTTTTGTGTTACTCAAATATTAACAATTGGAGGTTCCTAATAGTTTTCCTTTTCCTCTTTTTTTTTTTTTTGCTCTTTTGCAGTCGACCAATGGAAGAAGATGCCCCTGTAAGTCAGCTTACTTTGCAAGTGTTTCACCTATACACAGCTCTCATCATTTATTTTTCTCATTTTTTCCTTGGCTTATGTCCATGTGGTGAACTATTTTGTGTTTTAGGGACTGTCTACTGCGCTTAGTACTTGTTTTCATTTTCCTTTTATTCACCTTAATGCCATGTATTTGATTAGATTTCCTTTTTTTTGTAGCCATCATCCTTGCCTTACACATTACAACTGATAATTTTCTAGCCATACATCTTTAATTTTATCATATGGAGAATATGTTTATACCTCCCTTTTCAAAGCAAGAACAAGAATATATTTGATCTGTAGAATTTTTTACAGCACATAACCATTGACAAGTCTTTGGTTAAGTCGTTTGAGTTCACCATTCATAAAACAAAAGACAAAATCAATTAGAACTTCAAAATAACAATGTAGCTAGGATGATCATTTTTGTAAAAACTAGAACCTCTCAAGAATAAAAATAATTAGTTGAATTAGAAGAGTTTATTTTCTGCAGTTGTGTTGCTCCCACCTTCACGCATGTGTTATGACAGTTTTTCATTTTACCACATTGGATAACCTAGAAGCTAGGTCTAAACTTTGTAGTTCTCCCTTAACAGACATCCTATTGATATTTCCTCTTTTATTTGTGGTATGTTCATTCATACACATAATCTTTTTGTTCATTTTCCATACGAGTTCCTTCTTGTTCGCCTTCCCGATGTCAAAAGTGCTTTGCTTCAAAATTATCCAGATTAAGCACATAGCTAAAGAGTGTATAATCGGTAGATTATCATTATCCAGCTTAAGCGCATAGTGAAAAAGTGTATGCCCTTCTATGTTGGTTTGATAGAGGAATGGACCTCATCAGTCCCCAGTGAGTATGATTTGCTTATCAGATTTTATGAAAGATGTCTTATTTTTGCATATGGATCTTTTTTCTAGCAAGGGAAAAATGAGGAAGAGGAGTTCAATACTGGCCCACTTTCTGTCCTGATGATGAGTGTTAAGAATAACACACAGGTATCTAATGACTTTAGCACCTACAACTATGTATTTCTTTATGTTGTGTTTATTTATTAATTCTAATTATTAAAAAAAGAGATAAAGTCTGTCCTGGAACCGTGTTTATGTTGGCAATTTACTTTCTAAAGTCATCCCGGTATTCTTCTTCATTTATCTTAGATTTCAATACTGTAGAATTAGATGCAAGCTTCAGTTTTGTATGTGGAACGGTATCAGCTTTGTGCATGTTATCTTACAGATGTTTTTTCTGGATCTAGGTGCTCATCAATTGTAGGAACAACAGGAAACTTCTTGGTCGTGTGAGAGCATTTGATCGTCACTGCAATATGGTCCTTGAAAATGTTAGAGAAATGTGGACTGAGGTTTGTTTTTTTGAGAATTTTTTTTTTTTTGAGAATAATGTGGACTGAGGTTTGTTTGTTCTTGACTTTCCTAATCAACTTTTTGGGACAATGTGTATTGTGTCTTGGATTTGTATCTTGCGCCAAAAGGCTCCAGTTACCAAAATTGGTTATGTTTATTCTTCAGGTTCCTAGTGCAATGTGTCTTGGATTTGAAACTTGTGCCAAAAGACTCCACTTACCAAAGTTGTTTATGTTTATTCTTCAGGTGCCCAAGACTGGAAAAGGAAAAAAGAAAGCTGTTGCTGTTAACAAAGATAGGTTTATCAGCAAGATGTTCCTTCGGGGAGATTCTGTCATCATTGTCCTCCGAAATCCGAAGTAGAGGTACTGTTAGATCTTTGACATAGTGGTTGGAGTAATTTTATTTGAATTAGGAGCTAGTTCCTTTCATCGGTCCATATTTGAAGTGCAATCACCTTCTAACTTGCTATTATGTAATCAAATGTTTGGTATGAAAAAACTGTAAATGCCAAGTAATATTTTTTGAATCCATTAATGTGAAATTTATCAATATATTTATTATAAATAAAATTATAATTGTCTTTTCTGATAAACTATGAAGATCGATAATAAATGAAATATGATGGTCCTATAAACATAGGAAAAATGTTACGTGTGTAATGTTGTATACATATGATAGGAAGATCAATGGTTTGGGACCAGGAAACAACTATAGGATTAAAATCTGCAAGTTCTATTCTCCAAGTTTAGCTAATGAAGTATGAAGACAGTAAAAATGGTACTGAAAGAAGTCAAGAACTTACCTCGTGCTCAAAAGTTTCCCCTGCTAGAGCAGGGCAGGGGATTAGGAAGAGCATGAACATATACTGTTTTCACTGCTTCCTTTTTATCTCTTCTTGAGCCGAGGATCTATCGGTAACAACATCTCTTGCCTTACAAGGTAGGGGAAAGGTCTGTGTACACTATACCCTCCCCAAATCCCACTTGTTGAGATTAATACTGGGGTATGTTGTTTTTGGACATATACCATTTTTCTTACATTTCTGTGAAGAGGCTATTTCTGTCTGCATACAGAAATGTTCCATTTCCTCTTCCTTTTTTTCTACTTGAAATGCATTTATGGGTGGTTATGCACATTCTTGATTTTTTCCTTGGTGTTCCCACATTTTTGTTGGTCTGTATTTAAATATCTGATCATTCGTAGTAATTCAATACACTTGTGTAATGCAGGTGAGTTGGATTTCTGTGCTTTGGAGCAAAACTTGTGAGCAGCTAGGATTTCGACCAGCTTTGTATAACCTTTGATTGCTGTAGGGTGCTGTAAGACTTGATATAGGATTTTGATGTTCTGCTACATACTGTTATCTTCTTCACAAACTTCTTGTAAACGTTGGAGCTTAAAGTGCTTTTCGTGTATGTTGAATCCTATGACCAGCTAATATGTACGGTAACTGTCTTGCATAACTCCAGATACATTGTCCATTGTGAAGAGCATTGTGCTTGTCTATTTAACTATGTCTAGTTCTGGCACATGCATTGGCTGGACACAAATGCAATAGTCTAGAGTTTGAAATTGAGAGGCACAGAGATATTAAGTGTAGAATATTACCCTTGCCTGTTATTCTGTGTTTGCATCATTAAATCTTGGAATCCTTACACGAAGCGGGTTCATATTGTTAACTTTTTCTAGTTGGTATATATACATTTGTCAGTTATTTTTAGTTCAACTGATTTGGTATGGCTATTTATTAGGTTAATAATTAATTATTCTTCATATCTACCTTCTTTTTTTTGGTTTTTCACCTGATGTTTGATACTCACGTTGGAGCCCAACTAAATTTGGATTTATGCCGGAAAGTTCCACATTGGGGTAAATCACTCCATAACAAAGCAGGGGACTACTCAGACCTCTACTTCAAAATGTTGGATAATTGCATATGCCGATTTTCTCATCTTTAATTGGTAAAATATTTTACTCTTTTTTTTAAAAAGAAAAACAAGTTCCTGACTTTCCTGATAGAAGTAGGGAAAGTATTTATGGTGTTTGAGGCACACCATGTCATAGTTGTATGAGGAATTATTTTAATAGATAAAATTCATTTTGTAGGTCCATATCTTTATTACTTTTCCATTTCTCTTCTCACTCTTCTACCCCACCTTCTATTTAACCCCCTCTATGTAGAGTACTTTATAAAATTTTAAATTTATTTCTTACACAATAAAAATAATAATATCCTAAAATTAGTAATTTATTATCTCTTTTGCGCATTATTTCTCCAATTCTTCAATATAAAAATAGCAATGTCCTAAAATTAGTAATTTATTTTCTTTATTGTTTTGATAATTCATAATATTCATTTGTTATAAATCAAATAGAGATAAATATATCAATATTAATTTAGATTTAAAGTCAAATAATAATGTATTTAAAAAAAAGTTAAATTAAGATTTGTGCTCTTAACCTCATACAAATCAATTGTATAATTTTTATGACAAAAATTAATAGTTATTTAAAATTACTTGTAAATCAACAAAATCAAAATATAATTAATTATTTTTTTCATTTTACTCTCTATTAATTTATTATTTTTTGTTCTCGAAATTCAAGCTATAAAATATTTTTTATTATATTAACATGACAAGAATTGCAACTAATAATATTTTAGATTGAATTGCAACTTAGTGAGAATGTTATATTTTTGAACAAACACTATAAGTTGCAATTCTTGTCATGTTAATATAATAATAAAAAAATATCAATTAAATTTCACATAGCTTGAATTTCAAGAATAAACATATATCATATAAATTGAGAGAGTATGTATGTATGTAGGAGTTTATGGATGATTTTCGATTTTGGATTACATGAAAATAGAAACAAAACTTATGTAATTATTTGTGAAGATTACGGATGGTCTTTCTGTTATATTTTCTTGTTGGAGAATATTGGATACATTTAAGTGTTTACGAAATTAGAAAATCATGAAACTATTGAGAAGAGAAAAAAATTGATTTTATACCCCTTTCGTATTAGTTATTTTACTCCTTTTTTTCACGTTCTTTAAGAAATTATTAATAAAAATGATAATTTACTAATTTTACTCTTTAAGATATTTTTTTTTATATAACTTTACAAATTTTGTTTATACTTTAAAAAACAATAATTGCTAGGGTAATGAAAATAAAAAAATGATAGTTTAATTTTGTTAATCGATAAATAATTTTTAATAATTATTTTTAGTATTTTATATAAACTAATATAGGATAGAAAAATAATACCAAATGTTTAGGAGTATGATGAATTAGGCTAAATTTTATACTTTTAAAATTATTTAAAGATAAGGAAAATAACAAAATTTGAAATAATGGTTAAAACAAAACAAAAAGTGGAAAAGTTAAAACAATGGGAAAAAGTTAAAAAGTAAGAGAGAGAAAGAACTTTGACCCATTTTTCTGAAAATGGGACTCAATTATCCACTTGTCAAATTATGAAAAGAGGCTCATACAACTATGCCATCTCATTCTTGTCCCTCAAACACCATAATTTTTTTTTAGTGCAAATGACATTCCACATTGATTGTGTTCTCACACTTCAATACACCTCATCTTCTCTAGACCCCCATAGCCTCATCCCTACCATATTACACCCCTACTTACCATAATAGTTATCTAAATTATATACAAATATTTTTAGGATACTATATTTTGCTTATCGAACTCAAGAAAATAATGAAAGATCTACTTATTTTCTAGGATAAGTAACATTTTTTGCTTTGTTATTCAACATAAGTTAAAGGTTCAGTTTTACTCTTCGGATTGGCCCAGTGGTTTGGGCTTGGGACTTTCATGTTGGAGGTCTCAAGTTCGAAACCCCTTGCCAACGAAAGCAAGGGGTTTACCTTCTGGGTCAAGCTCGTCTCGCCGGACTTGCCTAGTGTGGGTTACCTCTCCCATGTGATTTGCGAGCTATTGCATAGGAGCGAAGATTTTACCCTGTGGGTAGCGGCTGCAGATTTCTCTTGTCATAAAAAAAAAAACATATATAGTATCTGCCAGGTACGTGATTCCAAAATAAGTTGGGGGAAAATAAGAACCTGTTTTATTCTTATGATAATAATGAAAGTTGGTCGACTACATCAACTGTTAACAAAAGGATAATAATAGAATTACAAAATTGACAAAGAACCAACTATTAAGACTATTCAAAAGAACTACACGGGGAGCTCAGCTCAGTCTTCTGCTTGAAACTACATGAACACAAGTGTCATCTTTTCGTCGCGTGCATTTCACCCCTGACCAAGTTTAACAATATCCAAACATACACACTTTCTCTTCTATTAAGCTGTGGTGATCTTTCCACTGTCTTCTTTGTGATCACCGAAAATACGTTGCCTAAAGTCTTGAACCATCATAGGTAGACCATTTCTAAGAGCCACTTTTGGTTCCCAACCAAGTAACTCTTTAGCCTTTGAGATATCAGGTTTCCTCTTGTGTGGGTCATCTTCTGTGTTTGGTTTGTGTACAATCTGTGCATTTGGGTCAATGGTTTCCTGGACCACCTGTACATCATTAAAAGACGGCGATGTGTCAATAAAATGGTAAAAGTTTCACAGGGCCCTGTTTACACATTGAAATACTTGACATATGATGAAGTTCAGACAATTCTAACTTAAATTAAGACGAAAAATGGTTACCATGTGAAACTTTAGACACCGCATGTATGAAGTTGTTCTGAAGTGGATAGACTTGCAAAATTTTACGTACTGTCTTAATATCTCATTCTTTATGGACAATTACTAGCAGTTATTATTTATATAACACAGTCTCTCCTAAGGGTAATGTCTGTGTACATTCTATCATATCCTCAGAAATATGATTTGTAGACTTGACCACGCTGTAAAATGCTAATGCAAAAGAAACACAACATCTATTTCGATGTTTAGAAGTGTGTCGTTACATACCTTAGCAAGTTCAAGCATTGTGAATTCACCAGGGTTTCCGAGGTTGAAGGGTCCGACATGTTCTCCTTCCATCAACCGCATTAGGCCTTCAACCTTCACAATTAACCAAAATAAAGCAAGTTTAGATTCCTTCTTACGTAACCAATAACCGAACCACCTTAATCTCTACACTAGAAGTTCCGGTTATGCTAACGATGTTTAACAACTTATGCTATAACCCTATTTGACAAAAGATCAGAACATTGAAAAGTCTTCACATATTTCTTAAACTCCGTGTCCAGTCAAACTACATCACATAAATTAGGACATCAGGAGTACATGGAAATAAAAATGCTGGTCCCAGATATCTGGCTTCTACTTTGAACATGGCATGTGCTATCATACTACAATATTTTACTTTGCAACAAAGTAGGGACCCTACTTAAGGTTCAGGATATTAATTTATATATTTTCTAATCAAGTTGTATAATGTAAGCTAGATGGCAAGTCAAATTATTAAAGAATCTTACATTTGAAAGCCACTTCGAAAGAACGGATATAAAACTACTAAGGTAACGTATTAAAATAAGCCAAAAAACAAAGGAAGAACAAAGAGAAAAGTACCAGATCTGAAACAAATTGGAAACTTCTTGTTTGTTTCCCATCACCATAAACTGTCAAAGGCTCCTTCCTTAAAGCCTGTATATACAAATTTTATATAAGCTTTTTTCTTCTCTTTTGGATGCTTAGTTTAAGAATCCATTAACTTAACGATAGATTTAAATAATCGAGTCACCTGAGCGACAAAGTTGCTGACAACGCGACCATCATCAATGCACATACGAGGTCCATAAGTGTTAAAGATCCTAGCAATTCTCACCTATAACAACATAGATACATCAACATAATTTTACCAGCAAATTACTTATCGGGTAACTACATCGATGATAAACAGTAGTAAGATAAAAATAGTTACTAACTTGCTATCACAGATTATACTACACCAATATGGATGTCCAAGTAAGTGCACGAAGAGGAATAAAACAGTTGGCTCCATATTGGTTGTTAATTTTATTTTTCACTGCATCTAGACTAATTCCACAAGAAACATGTCACCTCCCACCAACAACATGTATCAGGTAACTCTGTGTCCACCGTGATAGGACAAATGGTAAGATATCACCTAGATTTTTGTCTCTGTTGGAATTTAAACTCGAGACCTCATGATTTTCAACTCGCTTCATTGACTAGTAAACCACACCCTCGAGTGTCAAATGCTCTATTTCTTGACAATGTAATACCAGAGAAGTTACAATTACATTATCTATGAAGCCTACATTATCAATAAGTAGGGTAAACATTAATCTGGACTATGGGTTAAAAAAAAAGCACAAACCTCAACTTCAGCACCTCTGTGATAATCCATGGTCAATGTTTCAGCTGTACGTTTTCCCTCATCGTAGCAACTTCGGACACCTGTTTTACTTTCTTGGTCAGTTAACCCCACCATTTACATTAAAATAGACAAAAAGCAGAACAGACCATCTTCCTTAGTCTGCGGGAAATTCAAGT